AATGGGAAATACATTTTCCTAGTCTTGTATGTGGATGACATCTTGCTCGCTAGCAGTGATATTAATCTACTACTAGAAACAAAGAAGTTCTTGTCCTCGAAGTTTGATATGAAGGATCTCGGTGAAGCTTCGTTCATCCTAGGAATAGAGATTCATCGACATAGAGAAAAGGGGTTTTTAAGATTATCACAAAAGACATACTTAGAAAAAGTTCTAAAGAAAGACAGTATGCAAAATTGTAAGTCTTCACCTGCTTCCATAGTCAATGGCGATAGATATGGAGAATTTCAATGTCCCAGGAACCAATATGAGATTGATCAAATGAAAATGGTTCCATATAGTTTAGCTGTCGGAAGTTTACAGTATGCTCAAGTGAATACTCGCCCTGACTTAGTATTTGTTACCGGGTTACTTGGCAGATATTAGAGTAATCCAGGAATAGAACACTGAAAATTAGTAAAGAAAGTTTTGCGTTACCTACAAGGTACAAAGGGTCTCATGCTAACGTACAGAAGATCTGATTCCCTACACATAGAGGGGTATACAGATTCTGATTATACGGGAGATGACAGAAAATCCACGTTAAGATATATATTCACTCTCGCTGGAGGAGCTATATCATGAAAAAGCTCAAAGCATATCGTCACTACATCGTCCACAATGTATGCCGAGTTTGTAGCATGTTATGAGGCAACATGGCAGGTGAATTGGCTGAAGAAATTCATGCCTGGGTTGAAAGTGGTAGACGACATACATAAGCCACTCAAGTTATACTGCGATAATAATCCAGCAGTATGTTATGCTCACAACAATTAGTCAAGTGGTGCTGCCAAACACATTGACATAAAGTATTATGTTGTGAAAGATAAAGTCCGGGATCATATAATTAGTCTTGAGCATATAAAAACAGAAAAGATGCTCGCGAATCTGCTTACAAAAGGCTTACCACCCAGCGTGTTCAGAGAACACTTAGCCGACATGGGTTTAAGGGAAAGCGTATGATTTCTGAACAATAAGGGCCTAGTTGAGAATCTGTTTTAAAACAGAGAGATGCATTGTAGCTGTTAAATCTAATGGCAACTGACCGTGACGATGAGGCATGCTCTATGCACTGATCTATGATGGAATAGGAAAAAGATAAAGTATGTTAAATTTAAGTCATAAGGTGAGATCAAGGGGGATAATGTTAGATTGATCTCCACCAATTCGGTTAATTGGGCCCTTGGATCCACGCCCTGATCGGGGGCGTCCAACCGCTCCATGGTTGGTGAGCCCCCGTCGCACAGCGCCATAAAAAGAAAGGGGGGGGGCCAGGGCACAAGTCACGAGATTCACCTGCGCCGCCATAACCCTACCTACACCCTAACCCTAGTCGATCTAGAAAGGGGGCGTTGCCAGCGACGGGAAGCATCATCACCGGCTTCACGCCGCCTCTGCACCGCCGCCCTGCGACCGTGCCTCCACCGCGTCACCGACACCGACGCGATGGCCAGCTCGTCTTCTTCGAAGGCGGCTGATGGTTTGCATCTCCGCACCCCTCTCTCTATATATTTCTCGTATTAGCTTATGTTCTAGGGTTTATCATCTATCCTAAATGCAAGTTATACATGCTACTCACATATGATCCTGTTAATTTATCACATACTCCATGGGATGCACAAGAAAGCCAGGCAGCCAGCTAACATAGGACGAAAACTGCTAGTACATACAAGGCAAGAATGGGTCGGGGAGGTAAGTAAGTGACCATGCGACGAGTGGCTGTGGCCTGGAGAACTCAGCGGCGCAGTCTGCCGAAGAGGAGCGGCGCAGGCAGCGGACGGTGGCGACGACCGAGGACGAGACGGCGGCGGCACTGGAAGTGGGGCTCGGCGGCCATCGCAACCCCCGCAAGGGCGGACGCGGCGAGCACGGCGACGACGACGGCGCGGAAGGCCTTGGATGCCATTTTTTGAGCATATACTCCTAGTGTACAAGTTGTAGTATCGAAGCCACATGAGCCTCAGCGCCACGCGAGTATCACCTGAAAAGAAAATTATTTGCTTGCACGAAGCAAACGGTGCAGAACCGGGGTTCAAACCCCGGCCGGCCAGCTCCCACCACCGGAGCTTTGCCACTGCGCTACACGCGCGCCTGCCCTTGGATGCCATTTCGTTTCGGTAAAACTTGCAGGCTTGTAGTACCGTGCACGGTAGAAAGCAAGATGCCGAGGCTTGTGTGTGTGTGTGGGGGGGGGGGGTTAGCTGAAACCGGAGCCACCACGTTCCCAGTCTGTTGCCATGCCTGCCTCCTCAGAGACAGCTCACGATCGATGGATGGCTGGTAGGCCGGCCCCTGCGAGCCTGGCCTATAGCTGCATGCTCAGTGTTCATCGATGACATGAGTAGTTTCTTTCTACACTAGTCTGCTAATGCATTTGATGCCGCCACAGTACCGCAATACAGAACGTCAGAACCTGCAGGCCGATGGGCAACTTCAGATGCAGGAGCGGTGAACTAGAACTAGAGTACGTACTGAAGAGGGACTAGAGGAGGACATGGTAAGAAAACCTGAACGGTAATTTGCTTCTTGGACTCCCGTTAATTTTGCAATGGTTGGTTCAGAGGATCGATCTGAACTTTTGATTTGAGAAATCAGGGGAGACAGCGGAAATGCGGTCGAGTGGACCGCGCGCGCCACATGCGATGCGGTCTCGCCAAAGCGTTCCCCAATGAGTGCACCTCGCATCTCACGGCAGGCGTCCTTGCGCTCCAGGTTCCGTTCCATTGTTTTCCTTCTGATGATCATATCATCCCCATAGCCGCGCACGAAGACGACAGATCGGTGAAGGGCGGCGTTGCTGAATGCCAACTTGCCTTTCAGAAAACACTCGGCGTGCCGATCCTACCGATGGAGATGATTTTGAGCTGAACTGAAAGCCAAATTAATGCCAAGCGATCCTTGATGGGGATAGTAGAATTTCCCTCCTGAATCAGTCTCCATTTCCTTTTTCCTCAAGCGTTGGTTTCATCTGATCATCTCTAGTGCCGCAGGCTACACGGTAAGACCAAGACTGACACTATGGTCTCCAGGTAACAAAATGGGAAGTACGTATACTGACCTAGGAACAACCAAACAAAGATTAGACATCTTCTGCGCCATAAGGTGTGTATCTAGTCCAGCACAACTAATGAGTGACTTAACCACTTTATATAAGAATCTTGTACATCGCAGCACAGGGGCTCAGGCGAAGAAGATTGTCCTGGCAAAGTGTAGAATCGGCCTCTTGACAGCGCAAATGGGATGGTGGTCATCGGGTGACTAATCATGGAGCAGTTACACCGTCGTCAGTTAATCAGTCCTTCAACTAGAAGCTGGTGCATTAGGTAGTAAGATGTGTGTCAGCTCACACATAACATAACTGTCACTGGAAAACATATTTACTTAAGCCACGGTTGGCATGATTACAACCAGTGGTGCAGCAAAATAATGGGCCAAGTTGGCACTGAGTGAGGATGAGCCAATCCGTGACTAAGGAGTAAGGACAGAGGAATGTGTGAGTCTCGACCTGATCCTCAGTTGCTGCATGCCTGGCATATCACGTCAATTGCGATCACGTTCTAATGTTACTGCCTCCAAACTGAAATCCACCTCCGTCCTATAATAAAAATCATTATATATATAATTCAAATTTTGTCCTAAAATATTTAACCTTATCACTGCTCAATACACCTTTATCTTTTTTTTTCAATACATCTTTCTCTTTTCTGGATATGTTTTTATCTCTACCTCTCTCTATCTATCACCTTCTCGTTTTTGGTGCATCATAATTGTTTTCTCTACTCTTTAATTCCTGTGCCAGGATCTATAAGGTCATTTATTATGAGACGGAGGTAGTATATGGTATCAAATGTTCAAAGTTCATCCTATATTTCAAAACATTCTAGATTGCTTAACTTTTATCACTTGTATCTGCCTTTTAAATCTCATATGCATGCATTTTAAACACCATCTTACACAAAATTACTCATGTAATTGGTAGCTGAAAGCAATGGCCTTGTTTGTTTCAACCCTAGACCATGGGGATCAAGGGGAATTAGAGGGGATTGGAGAGGATTTTGACTTGTAGGGGATTTAATCCCTCCCAATCCCTATGGTTCTAAGAGAAACCGGAAAAGACTGTAATGGGCTATAAATTTCTGTAGCAACACACGGGGTATCATCTAGTTGCCTTAAATATAACCAATGGCTCTCTACAAGTTCTTTCATTAAAAAAAGACTTTAGCATGGAATTTTTAAGAGACGACGTGGTTAAAGTTCTCCATCAGACCATCATTCCGTCGCACTGCGCATTTGACACGTCGACGAGGAACTGAAATTTCTGATTGCTTATTACGTACGAATGAGTTAGATCGTCATCAAGCGTTCATATGTGAAACGATTTGGAACCGATAAAGTACAGGTATATATACGCCAATCATATGAATATGATGCACCCCAACCTAATACGCCACAGGTCCGCAGCCATCCGCTCGATCGGTATGACGGTATCGTATTCGCCAGTTCCAGGCTATCTCTCGTTAGTTTATCATGTAACACGTACGATCGTAATGTTCTCCTTCAGCTGTCACCTTCATCTGCATCATCAGAAGACGTCTAGTTTCAGGTCGTTTCGTGTGATTAACATGTACGCTAGGCATCGTTTATGCTGGACCAGATACTTCGGGGCATCCAATTCCCTCACCACTTGCACATAGTACTATTAATCTGCATTTCAGTTCTAGTTTTCTGGACCTGTAGTATATAAAGTGCTGGCAGAAGTGCACTACGTTGTGCCTACATCTCTCTCTGCACACTCAGCTCCGAAGAATCCTTCTTTCACATCCTCCAATTTTCGGTGACAAGATATCAATCATGGTAATGTGCATCTGTCCCTTCATTCAGCATGAACTATTTTCTAAACAACATGTATGTATGCTTTCCGTTTTCTCGATCAGCAACCGGGCGGTCACCACCACCGAAGGATGGTCGCGTCGAGCAAGGTCATCAAGGTCGGGCCGTGGGGAGGCCGCGGCGGGAGCCCGTGGGACGACGGCCCGCACCGGGGCGTCCGGAGCATCACCGTCACGTACAGCCGCTCCCTGGAGTCGATCAGGGTGGAGTACGTCGACAGCAACGGCCGCTCAGTCCACGGCGAGAAGCACGGCGGCGGGACGGACCGCAGCCTCTCCGTGAAGGTGAGCGATCGAGCTGCTGCTCGCCAGTCCTACTGCATCTACGTACATAGCTAGTTAGAACAGCGCGTGTGTCACCTTGGTAACTTTTGCATTGGCGTGCAGATCGACGTGGACTTCCCGTACGAGTTCTTGACGGGCGTCAGCGGATGCTACCGCGCGGCGCACGCCGGGTCGCCGCCGGTGGTGCGGTCTTTGACGTTCGCGACGAGCCGGGGGACGGTGCACGGGCCGTTCGGGGAAGCGGACGCGGACGGGGTGCCCTTCTCGTACCCGATGGAGGGGGGCGTGGTGGTCGGGTTCACTGGAAGGAGCGGCTGGCACCTCGACGCGCTGGGCCTCTACGTGGCGGCGCTGCGGCCCGAGACGCTCCGCGACGTGGTCCAGGAGCGCGGCCTCATGGCGTACCGGTCCTTCATCTACGCGGATGCCGGCGGGCCGGCGCGCCATCACAACAGCAGGAGGCCGTTCGAGTGGTGCTACAAATAACTGCATGCGGCTAAGAGTAGCTAGTCGGTCTGGTTCGACTTCGACAGTCGAACGGCAAGTGTTCGTTCTTCAATTCAGCCCGAGAGGGAGCGAGTCGCTTTCCTTACGGCGTTTGATCGCAGCTTATTAAAAAAGACAGTAACGAGTCACGTTGGTTGCTGAGAGTGCAGCCCAGTGAAGATAGAACGAAAGTTTTGCCGCACTGCACAGGGAACCGCTCACTGATCCACGTAAAAGAGCAGCGAAATAGACCGGGTGCCGCCAAATGAAACGGACGCCACGCAACCGGCAGGGCGGTAGGCCGAACCAAAAGCGCGCCCATTGCGCCCCACCGCCAGCCGCACACCCGAACGGGCGCCACGGCAGCCTCACCCCGTCCCCCGTGCCGAAACGTGGCCACACGTCATGGGCCTTCATGTTGCCAGGCCAGTAGGCCACATGGTCCCAAGTACCGACGGCTTTCAAATCACACGCCTCGTCCTCTCCGCCTCCTCTACATTTTTTTTCTTTTTTGATTTGATTTGAAAAAAAAAACTCATGCTTTACAAAATGGCACGCACGATTTCCACGAATAAATTTTCCCCATTGAGTTTCAAGTTGCAGAATCTTTGGCAATTTGTTACGAAGATCGAGTTTCCTCCTGAAGGTGGACAACAAAAACCAAGAAAAAGCTTCCGCTGCCTAGCGTGTCAATGGGAATGCCCCCCTTCCCAAAAAAGTATGGCATGACATCAATTGGGTATCACATTGCACATGCACAAGACCTAAAAATATGTCCAAGAGTTACCCAGTATATTCTGGACCGGTTGGCATCTGTGACAAAAGGGGCTAAGGCTTCATCATTAGTCTCGATGACATGTCAAATAGTCTCGTCACAACAATCAGAGAAAACACGATCTATTATGCCTTCATCAGCATCAACCAACACAGGCATCAGAGTTGTTAATGTAACTTCCCTTGCTGTGGACCCCAAGTCTGTTTCTGAGAAGGCGCGAGCTTTACAAAAGATAGCCAAGGCTCTGGTTGATGAGCTTGAGGGATTATTTGTGCCCGTTTCTCATCGTGATTTTGTGGGTGGAAAAAGCCCTTGAGCTGGAGAATGTAGCACATGACTTGATCACAGAGTATTTTAAAGCTGCTTCAAGGCCCAGTCAAGTTTTGGTGGCTTTCTCATCGTCAAGTATTTTAAAGCTGTTCCAACCGGGAGTAAAGGTCCACCTTTAGATCTGATTGGTGTTATCAACCGAGACTAAAGGCCCTCTGTCACTGTGCCGAGCGCAGTAGCCATTGAGCAGGGACCTTTAGTCCTGGTTGGAGACACCAACAGAGACTAAAGGTCTTTTAGTCCCGGACGTAAAAAAAATACCGAGACTAAAGCCTATTTCAATCTCGAATGAAAGGTATGTTCTCTGCTAGTGTACGGAGTGGCTGCGTTCCGTCGCCCCGCCGTGCTTCTCGCCGTGGACTGAGCGGCCGTTGCTGTCGACGTACTCCTCCACACCCTCATCGACTCCAGGGAGTGGCCGTACGTGACGGTGATGCTCCGGAGTCCGGACGCCCCGGTGCGGGCCGTTGTCCCACGGGCTCCCGCCCCGGCCTCCCCACGGCCCGACCCTGATGACCTTGCTCGACGCGAACATCCTTCGGTGGTGACCGACCGGTTGCTGAGAAAACGGAAAGCATACATGCATGTTGTTTAGAAATGTCAGGTGCTCCAAGCAATCGCCGTACGTACGTGCTCGTTTTCCGTGGACGCAAGTGGTGCGGTGCTATATCTAAAGATGCACACCAAGAAAAAAATAGTTCATGCTGAATGAACGACAGATGCACATTACCGGATATCTTGTCACCGGCTAGAAACTGGAGGTACGGTTGCCACAACTACGTCAATTTTAACCGAGACGGACAAAAGACATTAACTAAAACGGTTTTCCGCCAAAAGGTCATGATTAATCAGACCTTAACGGAGGCGGTTGCTTTGCCCGTTATAAGGGAAATGGACCCTAGGCCTAGTTACTTTGGATTTTAGTACTTGATGACCAACACAACCAAATTAGATTTTGGTGCTTGATGACCAACACAACTAAATTTGTAAGTGATTGTTTTGTAGTTCAATAGGATACAAGACGTGACTTGAACAAAGACGACGTGATGACCCGATGATCAACACCTCAAGCAAGACCTTAGGAGCACAAGAGAAGACCCAAGATATCAAGTAAAGTCCAAGCATGAAGATAGGAATCAAGCCGCACGCAAGATCGCGAAGAAACGAGCTCACAGTAGCGACCGGACGCTGACGAAAAGCGACCAGACGCTCCGATCTGAGGCTCAGCAACAGCAGCAGCAACCGGATGCTGGCGGCAAACCGACCGGACGCATGACAGCAGCGTCCGATCGAGTACAGAGACGTTCCAGAGCGGCGAACTTGCGACTGGACGCGTCCGGTGGCAAGTGACCGGACGCTGGCAGTGTCCGATCAGTTGTTCGCGGCTCCAACGGTCGGGACGACCGGACGCATCCGATCAGGACGACTCCAGCATCCGGTCAGTAGCAGAAAAGCGGGATTTCGTCCCCAACGGCTACTTTCTCAGTGGGGCTTATAAATACAACCCCCAACCGGTCATTTGGTGTGTGTGGAGCTGAGGAAACATATCAAGGGTGTTGATACACCATTTTAGTGATCTCCACTTACATAGTGCTTAGTGATTTATTAGGTGATTAGCGTAGGTGCTTTGCGAAGTACTTAGGTTGATTAGACCACCGCTTATGCGTTTGCTCTAGGTTTAGGCCTAGTGTTTAGTGAGGTTTGCATACCTCTTACCACTCGGTGCTTGCGCGCACCATTGTTATACATCGGAGGGGCTTGTAGTCTTACGAGATCACACCAACCGCGTTTGTGGTGTGGCCGCCACTGTGTACCGGAGGGAACAAGGCCTACGGCGTTTCGACCGGAAGCTTGATAGTGAAGACGGCGGGGAGCATCTGGGAGAGGCTTGTCGGAAGGCACGTTGGAGACCCACTTGCGCGTGGGGAAGGCCCGAGGCTATCCATGGAGTTACCCGACCGGGAGCTTGGCTCTTGCGAGGGATTCCTTGCGAGGGGCTTCAACGAGGACTAGGGGGACGCTTGCATGCTTCTCGATACCTTGGTAAAAATACCGGAGTCGTCGATGGAAGTTTGCATATCTCTACCTTGCTCTTTAGTTTCTGCATTAATATTGATCGTATTACTCTTTTTGCGGTAGAGATAGCAACACATTAGTAAAACCGTAATTGCGCATTTAGATAGTTTATCTTTTGCATAGGTTTTGCTAAGGTTAAAAAAAGATGCCATAGTTAAGAGTTAGAATTTTAAGTTGCCTAATTCACCCCCCTCTCTCTTAGGTGTCACGGTCCACTTCAATTGGTATCAGAGCTGGTTGGCTCAATTTGGACCTTTGGCTTAACCGTCGTTGAGCCGACGCTATTTAGACGGTTTATGATGGATAACTCTAGGTCTCCGCACTTTGACGGCACGAACTTCCCTTATTATAAAGCGAGAATGGCTTGCTACCTTGAGGCGGTTGATTTGGGAGTTTGGAGAGTCACTCGTGACGGGATAAAACCCATTAAGAATTCCGATAAACCCACGAAGAGTGAAGAAAAGGAAATTCATTTCAATGCTAGAGCTAAAAATTGCTTATTTGAATCATTTAGTATGGATGTGTTTAACCAAGTGTTCACTTTAAATACGGCACATGAAATTTGATTAAAACTTTAAGAGCTCCATGACGACACATCAAATGTCCATGAGCAAAAACATTGTCTAGCTAAACAAAATTATGATTCCTTTACAATGAATGATGATGAGCTTGTTCGTGATATGTATTCTCGTTTGAATCTAATTATCAATGAGCTCCATTCAATATGACTAACAAAGCTAGATGATGTGGACATCGTGAGGAAGATCATCTCCGTGCTACCACAAAAGAAATATGCAAGCATCATCACCATCCTTCACAACATGGAGGACTTGAGCACCATGACCCCGGGCATAGTCATTGGCAAGATAGTGGCATTTGAAATGTCACGTAAGATGGGTCAAGAAGAAGCCTCTTCATCAAGCAAAGGCAAAGCTCTCGCATGTAGCGAAAAAAAAGATAAAGGACAAGCAAGTTGAGACAAGCTCAAGCTCAAGCTCCTCAAGTTAAGATGAAGAAGAAGATGAGGATGATGATGATGATAATGAAGAAGAAGAAGAATCAAGTGATGATGATCAATCTTCCTCCTCCACCTCCGACTTTGATGAAGTGTGTGCCCATCCACATTCAAGATTTCATTTTCACCAATCAAAGAAATGAGCAAAGAAAGAGAGGATGCTATGGATGCGGTGAGTTGGGGCATTTTGTGGAAGTTTGTCCAAACAAGCCCACACCCAAGACAAAGAAGAAGGCATGCAAGAACCAAGCTCTCACATCAATAAAGTCATGGGATGATTCTTCAAGTGAAGAAGAACACCATCACAAGAGGCAAGGGGACAAGCACTCATCATCGAGCTCTTCTCGTATGTGCCTTATGGCACGAGGTAACGAAAGCTCATCCTCTAGTGAGAGTGATAGTGATGATGAAATGCCTTCTTATGATGAAATTGTGCAACAAAATCTTAATTATGCTAAAGTCTGCACTAGTCAACAAAAGAAGCTCGAAAAATTAAAAGTAAAGCTAGATAGTTCACAAGAAGCATATAAAACTTTGCTTGAACAATATGAGAATTTTGCTAATCTCAATGTTGAACTATCTACTAAAATTGAGCAACTTAAGGCTAGTGCAACAACAAATGCATGCACAATCAATGATGAGCAACTTGTAAAGAAAAATGAAAAATTAAAAGAAAAGTTAGCTAGCTCACAAGATGCTTATAAAAGTTTACTTGCTAAAATGGAAACCATGTGCAAACATTGTGATGAGCTAACTAATAAAGTTGCTAATCTTGAAGTCGTTAGTACAACCCCCAGCAAGGCATCTAAAAAGAAAAGTTTTATTTTTAACATGTCTAAAAAGGATGCCGCTACTTCTTGTAATGTTTATTCTCATCTTTGTGCAACCAAGTTTGTGTTGAGAAAGTTGTTGTAGATACATGCACATAAGAGGTTGCAAAGGAGAAAGAGCAACTCAAGCAAGAAGTAGCTTGCCTCACCAAGGACTTGACTCAAGTGAAAGGCAAGACGAAGCAAGCCCAACTTCATGAAGATAACACCGTTAAGGGAGTGAAGAAGCTTGGTGAAGGACAAACCATGGTTTGCTACGTGTGCCACAAGGAAGGTCACAAGTCCTATGAGTGCAAGGTGAAGAATGGGGAAAGAGCAAAGAAGAAAGAGAAGAAGCAAACAAGCAAGCTCTCCAACACCTACACCAACAAGGTGGACAAGAAGGCCTCCACACCATACTTGTTAAAGAAGAAGAAAAATAACAAGGTGGTGGCCATCAAGGTGAACAAGCAAGCCAACAATGGGGTCAAACGCTTTTGGGTGCCAAAGGAGACCATTTCCAACATGAAGAGCACCAAGAAGGTTTGGATCCCGAAAGAGAAATGAGAAGTTCAATGGACTTCGGGGAATTTGGAGACTTGGCAAAGTATGGATGCATTTCATGGGGTGCATCATTATGGACAAAGTTATTACCAAGTGGGTTAGTGAATACTATGGACCCAAATTCCCCTTCCCATGTTAGGTAACTAGATTCAATTTACTTCAATTGGTATTAGGTTTAAATTTTCCTACAATCGGTATCTTTTAGCATCTAGTTACTTTTCATGCCTAGGTTTGCATTTGAATTCTTATATCTTTTGTCATGCATACACTAGGTATATCATATGGTATGCTTGCTCGGTTTTATTCTTAACCCTTGGAGCAAACTTACATGGTTTAAAATTAGGAGCACGGCACATAGCTTGTCCTTCAATTGTTCATATAATATGTGTCAAAGTCCAAATTATAGATAATTTCTCCCGAATATCGCCTTCGAAAATGACCCTCACATTCATGTGATGTCATCTTTCAAGTAGTATTTTTTATTCTAAAATCAATGTGCATGTTTTCTACAAGTATTCTAGA